ATACCAGAGAGCTGGATCGGAAATGGAGCAGCAAGGTTTTGAACCAGCATCCATATGGGATGCCAGCGCTTCAGGCCACGGTGTTAACCTGCTGCACAACAGCACCTGCCCCAAAAAAGAAATACTTTTGAGATCTTGGTAAAATTGTGATCAGAACTCAGGAACTAAGTAGGATTTTCTTTTTTTCTACAGATAAAATAACTCTCAAGCAGACACTATTATATACTGTTTTTCTCAGGTCATAGGTTTTCACAAATATTAAATATGCAGCTTGCAGTGTGGCACAGCAGTCTAAGCCTCCACCTGAGGCACTGCCATCCCAAATGAGCACCAGCTTGTGTCCTGGCTGCTCCTCTTCCGATCCAGCTCACTGCTATGGCCTGGGAAAGTAGTGGAAGATGGCCCAAGTGCTTGGGCCCCTTACCCATGTGGGAGACCTGGAAGAAGCTCCTGGCTCCTAGCTTCGGACTGGCTCAGCTCCAGCATTTGCAGCCATTTAGGGAGTGAACCAGCGGGTGGAAGACCAGAGAATTAAGATCTCTCTCCCTTTCTCTGGTTTTCAAATGAAAATAAATCAATATTTTCAAAAGAAAACACATACAATGGAAAATCTTCTTTACTCAATGGTACCACTTTTTATACAGTAACTAAGAATTTATGATTCAATTTATGATTCAATTATGATACAATAGAAAATGTCCTAATTTTGATGTCATTAGAACAGAAAAAAAATCAGATTGATTTTTCAAAGAAAATTCGAATGTAGTACTAGTAATATGTAATTTTAAGATAAGAATGCGCCAATTTTGTAACAGATATGACAAACATTTGCAGAAAATATACTAGCAAGAAATAGACCAAAATGCATATACTATCTGATGATACGTTATTATTCACTTTTTCCATTGTATTCTTTACTTTCTAACAGACTTACAATTAGTATATTTATTTTATGATCAGGAGAATGATTTAAAAACTGTTCTAAATTGCACAAATTATAAATCGAATTCTCTAGCTTGAGTTTTTGTTCCAAAAAGAACATGAGTAAGTACTCCCCCTGCTGGTTACCTAAAAACATTAAACACTGGTAATAATAGCTACCTAGTTCCCAAAAAGGATGACCAGTGTTTAGAATCTAACCAGCATTTAAAATCATGTCAAAGGGCAATGACACTCAGGGTACAAACATCCAAACCAGTTTACAAAGTATCTGAAAACAACATAACTACTCACTTCATACTTCTTCTTTCTTAAAGACTATTTCTTGCTTTTTTACAACCCATTTCTTCTATACACCCATACTTTTCTCTCCCTCCATCTTAGCCCATTATCCTTTCCGATCATTACCTATATATGGAACAGAGTTTTTACATAGTAGAAGTAGTGAGTTATGCTTTAATTTTCATTTTCCCAATAACATCTGTAGGTTTTGAATATTCCTACCTCCAATTCTAATCCCATTTATGGTTTCATTGAATCACTTAAAACAAAATGCATGTCAGCAGATAGTAGAGGAGGGGTGTACACTGAGATCCCATCACTTGGGACCCTTGCACTCCATAAGGGAGTGCCTGACTTGAGTCCTGCCTGTGCTTCCAAAATGCAGCTTTCTGCTAATGCACACCCTGGGAGGCAGGAGATGATGGCTCAAATATTTGGGCCCTGTCATTAACATGGGAGACCTGGATGGAGTTATTGACTCCTAGCTTCAGTCCAGGGAGGCCTTCACTATTGAGAGAATTTGGGGAGTAAACCAACAGGTAGAAGATCTCTCCTTTTGTCTCTCTCTTTCTGCCATTCAAATAAATAAACAAACTTCTAAAACAGAAGACAGTAGATCAATGAATTAAGAATTCCCTCTCTCTCTGCCTCTCTGTAACTCTGCCTTTCAAATAAATAAATCTTAATAAATAAATAAATAAATAAATACAATAGGGGCCAGTGCTGTGGCGTAGTGTGTAAAGCTGCTGCCTGCAATCCCAGCATCCCATATGGGTACCAGTTCATGTCCCAGCTGCTCTACTTCCAATCCAGCTCTCTGCTATGGCCTGGGAAAGCAGCAGAAGATGGCCCAAGTCCTTGGACCTCTGCACCTGCATGGGAGACCCAGAAGAAGCTCCTGGCTCCTGCCTTCAGATCTCTGCAGCTCCAGCCATTGCAGCCAATTGGGAAGTGAACCAGCAGATGGAAGACTTCTCTCTCTCTCTCTCTCTGCAACTCTGCCTTTCAAATAAACAAATCTTGAAAAAAATAAATTAATAAAAAAAATTGAGGAAAATTCAATTTACATTTCCAGTCAAGATGCCTATTCCCAGGCAAGGTATCAATCAATTATGAAAATACTATGAAGAACTGTATCCCAACAAATTTAGATAACTAAAATAAAATGGACAACGTCTAAAAAGACACAAGTTTCAAAATCAATTTAATTTGAAATTAAAAAAAAAATCTGTGACAAAGATATTAAATCAGTGCTTAAAAACTTCCACAAACAAAAGCTGTAGTTCATTTGGCTCCAATAGTGACTTCTAACAAACATTTTAATAAGCACTAATGGGGTAGAAGTTGTGGCACAGTGGGTTAAACCTCTACATGGACATCCTCATCCCATATGGGAATGCCAGTCCAAGTCCCACCTCCTCTGCTTCTAATCCAGCTTCCTGCTAATACACCAAGGGAGGAAACAGATGATTTCAAGTGCTTATGCTCCTGCTACCCACTTGGGACATCCAGATGGGGTTCTTGGCTCGTAGTTTCTATCTGGGCCAGCACTGGCTGCTGTGGGGACTGGGAGAATAGAGAGCTCTCTCTTCTCTTGACCTTTCAACTAAATGAAAAACATTTTTTAAAAATAAAAAAGCATTAATATCAATCCTTCCCAACTAATCCAGAAAACAGAAGAAATACTTTCCAATTCACACAACCAAATTACTCTGACAACTAAACAAAACCATCATAGGAAAACACAGACCAGTATCACCTATAAATATGCAAAAAATGCCAGCAGAGTGAATACAGTAATATATACAAAGGGTTATATACCATGACCAATAGGAATTTTTCCCAGGAATTTAAGAATGATATTAAAATGTACAATTTAATTAATGTAATATGTCATATTAATATGAGACAAAATCATACCACTATCCCTATAGATGCAGCAAAATAGTTGGCAAGTCAAAAACTTTCCATAATAAACTTTCAAAACACTAGCAATAGAAGGGTATTTTCTCAATTCCATAAAAAAACACATGCATCTAAAGAACTCATAACTTAAATCTTACAGAATAATGAAACACTAAATGCTTTATCCCTAAGAGAAGAAACAAGAAAGGGATGTCAATTCCTGCCACCTGTTCTCAATGCTGTAATGGCTTAAGCCACAGCAAGTATGCAAGGAGATGAAACAACAGACATCTAGATTAGAAAGGAAGAGGGGGCCGGCACTGTGGCATAATAAGATAAATAGTACCTAATCACAGGATTAAAGGATTAAATGAGTTGATACATACAAAGCCCTTAGCACAGAAAAGTGTGAAATAAATTACTGCATAATGAAAAAGAAGTAAAATAATATTTAAGCACAGGAATAACAATAATATTTCAAGCATGAAGTACTTCGAGCCTGATCTAGGATAACAGAACTGAAAAAGAAATTCCTGGATCAAAACTTTTATGGTAGCCAGCTTCCCAAATGGCCCCGATCATGCCTACCACTTGTCATTCATACTTTCTATGGTCACCCTCATGTTGTCCAGGTTGGTCTATATGATAAAGGGAAAGAAGAGATGGTTTTTAACTTTCAAGTTAGGTTAATAAAGACACCAGGGCCTCTGCCTCAGATTGTTACCGATCTTGCACTTTGGGAAGGCAGTTACTGTGTTGTAAACTTCACTTTGGAAATGGCAAGGAACTGAGACTTCCCAACAGCCACACCAGTGGGCTTAAAGTGCATCCTCCACTTCTAAGGTCCAATGACCCTTTATTTCGTGGCAAATTTCTGGGAGGCCTTGATCTAAACTACACAGTTGAGCCATCACCAGATGTATGATTCTCAGAAACTGTATGAAATAATAAATATTTGTTCTGAACTTCTTCAATTTTGAAACAATCCATTACAAAACAATACATTAGTGAAAAGAAAAACTGAGTCTTCAAAAATGATAGAGTGAATGTCAAGTCAAAAATACTAATTCTAAGTTAGAGTGACAGGGAGCTATTAGGGTCTGGTGGACTCAGGGTGAGAGAATTTCATGATACATCGAATTAAGCTCAAGGGAAAGGTCAACTACAACTCTAATGTCATTTTTAAAACAGTTACAGTTAACATCAAGGTGTAAGATTCCCCAAGGTAAACTTATGAGAAAAAAACACAAAAGACAAAATCAGAGCATGGCAGGGAGACAGTAAACAGAAGTGACCAAGCAGTGCTGAGACAGACAGAACAACAACATCAGACATGCTCAGGGGGCAAATATGTAAGATGCTCCAGGGACCAGGTAAATAACACATAGTGGATGAGGCAACTTCACTTAGTTTCTTGATTTTTCCCCCACATTTTAGTGTTTCTGAAATCTGGATGTGTTATCAAATCAACAGCTCTGTTGAAAATCGGTTTCATTTAGTCCCTAAGATCAGTTTAAAAACTGACAGCATGCTCTGATAATCAATGGTATTGGAGAAGGAAGATTGGCACAGACAAGGAAACTAAATCAGTAAGTGTGGGCGGGGGGGGGGGGGAGCAGTTTGAGTAAAACAGCTGTCAGGAGGGAAGCACTATGACAGCGTTTTAGATCTTTTTGTATGAGCCAAACATGTAAGCAAAGAGCTTAGAAGGGACTTTTAAGAAGACAAAGGACACACACCAAGACAAGTACAGTTAACAATAAAAACGATGTCTTCACTTGGAGGCGGCACCATTTAAGCCTCATTCACCCAACAGCACCCACACACTGCGAGAGGCTCTGGCACAGGGACCAGGAGCCACTGGCTCCAAGTACCTCTCCCGCTGTAGCCGGTAGAGAACGATCTAGAGAAAGCTTGGGTGCAATGGAAAGTGTGGCAACAGACACATCTGGGAAAAACGGGCAGCGCCAGTGAAAACCTGCCGCTCTCAGCTCCTGAGACGACAGAGGTAAAAAGACACAACTCAAAAGCAGCCACCACCAGCGAGTAGGGATCTGTCTCACAAACTCCTCACAGACTCGACTCTCAGGAGCCCACTCTGCCCGGAAAGGGCTCGCGCGTGCCCGGGCAGGAGCCCGACCCAGGGTGGACCCAACGGTAGCTGCCTCTCCCCGGCTCCACCAACGGCCGGGGGTCCCGCCAGCCACAGCACCCACAACTCCCACTCTCTCAGTCCCGCGCAGGCCACGCGCGACCGCCCGCCGAGAACGGGCACAGCAGGACAGAGCTGCGTACCCTATGGCGCGGAAGGAGCCTTGGTCGTGGCTCAAGCCACAAAGCATACCTTGAGTCCATAAGCACGGACGCCACGGGGCATCTCCCTGCGGGTACCTGCCTCTTGGGTTCGTCGCCGCCTCCGGAAAGTGCGCGTCGCCATTTCCACCTTGGCGCGCCGCACCGCGCGTAGCAATTGGATGACGATCTGGCGTAGGGCGGAGCTTCTCCGCGCCTGGTCACCGCCCAAGCGCGCCTGCGCGACCTGAGCTGGGTTCTGAGCGCTTTGGGGCAGGAAAGGTCTAGCGGTGTGTTGTGCTGCATGGTTGCTGTTTATTAAATTTTTTTTATCCGTTGTCAGACAGGAACTGACTTTACATACGATTAAAATGAGCCGCGGCTCACGAGGCTAATCCTCCGCTTTCGGCGCCGGCACACCGGGGTCTATAGTCCTGGTCGGGGCGCCGGATTCTGTCCCTGTTGCCCTTCTTCCAGGCCAGCCCTCTGCTGTGGCCAGGGAGTGCAGTGGAGGATGTCACAAGTACTTGGGCCCTGCACCCCATGAGAGACCAGGATAAGCACCTGGCTCTTGCCATCGGATCAGCGCGGTGCGCCGGCCGCGGCGGCCGTTGGAGGGTGAACCAACGGCAAAGGAAGACCTTTCTCTCTCTCTCTCACTGTCCACTCTGCCTGTCAAAAAATAAAAATAAAAAATAAAAAAAAAAATGAAGCCAGAAGGCGGCTGCGAATGCAATAATCAGTAGTTAAGTCGCAGTTGCTGATAAACTGGAGAAAAGACTGTTACTACTGCATCCGTTGGGGATGAGGGCAAAGTGGTGACATTTACCTGTTGCATACTGACATGCTCAAGAGACAACCAAATCACCAGAAGGGTTTGGGATTCTGCAGGTCTGAGCCACGCCCAGAGAGCTGGGAATTCTAACCAGTTCCCATACCTGACCAGGGATCACTCCGAAGACTGGAGGCAGCCGATCTTCCTTAGCCCCTCAAGTGAATATGCTGGGGCCTCAGCCTTTGAGAAGTAGACTTCTAACCAAACACAATGAAAAAAGCCGGGACTGAGCAGATGGTGGATTAGTTTGCAAAGACTAATTGGGTAGGAAGATTCAGTAAAAAAAAGTGTCTACTGGATGAAAGAAAAGGAAAAAAGATAAAGCAATAAGCAAATTGGAAACAGTTTCAGCCTGGGGAGGAGGAAAGAATTCACAAGGAGTGGTGCTCTCAGAGTCATGCAGAAATGTAAATTAGACTTTGGCTTCAAAAGCACTCTTTGTACCTCTGTAAGAATACATTGTTCTGTGAGGGACACACTTGTGGCCTTTCTCTCCTCCCTAGTCGCTATGCTTCCACCTTCTCCTGTTGGAGGTCCAGTGCCTAAAACCACAAATGACTTTTGGTATATGCTAGAGGCCTACCCTCTAATAACTGAAACCATGAAGTTTAAAAGGGGTATGTCGGGGGGGGGGAGGGTGCTCAGCTTAAGAAAGATAGATTGCTGCCAACATTTGGAAATATAGTTTCAGATTTAGACTATTGGGCTTCTGACAGGGAATCCAGCAAGAAGAGAGATTTGCCACTGCTGGGTCAGCCAGTCTTAGCAGCTTACTGACCAGCTCACCATTTGCGTCTTGTTTCTCAATTTCATATCAGCAGCCACATCTGTCTGTGCAGCTCCCATTCTAACCCCAGTACACTGTTCTCTTCTCTCTATTTGGATATGTTCTTCTGCCTAAAGGTTTCTTTTCCAAAACTTGGGTCTATTCAGATCTCTCTCTCCATCTCTCTCTCTCTTCCCCACCCCTCCCTCTTTGTCCCAGTAATGACACTGATGTCTTCTAGGAAGTCATACAGAAACTTGGGAATTTTGTGAACACTTTGTGTCTCCTACCAAAGTCCTGTCTGTCCCATATCCCACGTGTAAATCTCTCTTCTGGTCACCTTGTGTCCACTGCCATCAGTGTTTTCCAGGCCCAGACATCTAGTAGCATCCCAGCACATGTCTTCTAATCCTCTCTTTCAGCTGGTCCATCTCACACATATAATCCATTGTCCACATGGACCTTCCAGTGGTGATGATGCTCTCTGTACTGTCCTTCCTTCTCATTGTCTTCCCCTGGAGCCTCAGGGTCTAAGCATTTGTACTTCTATTTGCCTTAAAGGCCCTAGCCTCCCATTACCATGCCAATTCCTGTGCACCTATCAAGCCTGTACCCAATAACGTTAGTTTCTTTCAACTTTCAAATCTGAAACTTCCTGCTCTTGACTTTCATGGGAACTTCTGATCCTTTGATGATGGTATAATAATACTAAAATAATATAATTATTTGTGTAATTATATGTTTACCATTGGTTCCACCTCTGTGCTGTAAGGTGGTACCACGTCTAGCATCTTCACTTTTATATTCCTTGTACTTAGCACAGAGTCGTCCACATATGAAGTCTTCAAATGATTTATATATATAAATAATCATTATGAAAAAGAAATAGCTGGCCAAGATTGCATAGCTACTATGTGTTCAGGATTAGAACCTGCATCTGAAAGACCATGCTTTCTCTACTATACCATCACTACTAAATTGACAAGGAATTATTTATTAATAACCAGACTCAGTGAAAAAAGGAACTGTCTCTAAGGAAGATGAGTCTGTGCAAGAATGCATTCTTGCATCCTCTCCAGTTTCATCACCTCCTCAACAAACAATTACATATACCAAAATAAGCAAGAATAGTCTTATTTTAACTTCTTCCTCATTAACCTTTTTGACTCACTTGTTTTTCTGCAGTTGTCTGTGGCTTCACTCTGCTTATGATGATTGTTGGGACCCCACAGCAAGGGAGGACAAACCTTGAGAGCACTTCTGCTGCATCCCCAGGACAACTCTCCTTCCATCAGAGGGTCAGACTGTGTTTTAAGAAAGGTCTCATGTGGAAAAAAACTCTTGACATCTACTAGTGTATATTCCTTTCTAGTCTAGTAGTAAGCAGTGCTCTGAGCTACAAAGATTTAAATGTGTGTGTTGGAGGTTTGGGAAGAACTGCCAAGGTACAATATTATAATTAAACATGGACTGAGAACGCATTTAGCCCGATGGCTTACGTGCTAAGATACCAAGTGAGGATGCCCACACCAGAGTACCTGCATTCAATACCTGGCTCCAGCTCCTTATATTAGCTTCTTGGTAATGCAGACCCGAGAAGTTGTTGTGATGACTCAAATTATTAGTTCCTCGCTACCTACCTGGAGACCTGGGTGAAGTTCCTGGCTTCAATTTGGGCCCAGCCCAGGCTATTTTAGGCATGTGGGAAGGGCACCAACAGATAGAAGCTTTCATCTTTATCTCTTCCTCTCTGTCTCTCTATCACAGAGGAAAAGAAATCATGAGCAGTTCATTTACTATCTAAGTGTAGGAAGTGCAGAAAGTCTTCCCCACTGTGACTCACAATTCATCAGTCATAAAATAAAAGCTTGATTTATGCAACTATATAAACACTCTAATTCGTGCATGATAAATCCAGATAAAGCACAAGCAAAGACAAATAGTACAATATACCAGGAAGTATACCTGGAATTCATAGCATATCAAAACAATCTATCCCTAATATACAGATTGGTCTTGGGAACTAGGGGGAAATGACCTAAAGCCCAATGGAAAATGGACAAAGGACAAGGAAAGTTAAAGAATAAGGAACACAAGTGGCTTTTATTCATATGGAAAAGGTGCCTCCCTACTTATGATAAGAGAAATTAGTTAAACTTCAAGTAATTAACAGCACATATTGAAGTACAACACTGTCATATATTTCTATTGGGGTATATAGAATCATTCAAATCTATCAAGTGAAATTTGGCAATATTATTCAAAATTATGTGTGTTTGCCATGTTAGCTAGCAGTGTCACTTCTTGGAATTAACCTCACAGACATAGCTGCACACATGTTGTCTTAGTCTGTTCATGTTGTTCCAGCAGAATACCGGAGACTGATAATTACCATCAGAAATTATTTTACTTTCTCACAGTTTTAGAGGATGGGGAGTTCAAATTCAGGGCATCAGTATTCATTGTCTGGTGAGGGCATTCCTATTCCATCCTCCCTTGGCAGGAGACAGAATGGCAAGAGAGTAAGCTAGCTGAACACTGCACGAAATCTCTTTTATAAGGGCCTTAATCCTATTAATGAGGAAAGAGTTCTCATAGCCTAATTACCTCTTAAAGGCTACATATCTTAATTCTAACTTTTTGGCAACACCTGAATTTTGGAGAGGACCCATTCATACCATAGCAAAGATGACCTAATGTGTGTACACGAATACTTATTGTAGCATCATTTGTGATAGTAGGTGACTAGAGCAACCAATTTACAAAAGGGGACTGATAAATAGTCAGTAGACTGCCTAGATAACAACATCTAAGTTGAACTCAATGAAAAGAAACATTTGGCAAAATAGGAGTCAGTGTTTTTGCCTTTCCAGTGTAAGAAAAGAAGGAAAGGATATATATTGTTTACAAATATGTTGTTTGTATTTTCATGAAAAAATGCATGGTACATACAAAAATAAATATGTGTAAAAGTGGTTACCTAGCAGAAGGGAGGAAATAGTGGTTTGAATGAGAGTAATAAGATTTCACCACATCTATCTTTATATATCCTTTAATTTTTGAACCATCTCTATACTTATTTTAAAGAACAGATTAAAAATTAAGAAAAAAAGTGCCCTCTAGAAAAATGATTTCTGTACAATTCTTCTTTAGGAAATATTTATTTATGTGTTTCAAAGGCAGAGGGATAGAGATAAAGAGAGAGAGACAGGGACAGAGACAGATTTTTCCAATCACTGGTTAACTTCCCAAATGGCCTCAAAAGCAGGGCTGGGCCAAACTGAAGCCAAAAGCCAGGAACCCCATCAGGTCCTCCATATGAGGTGGGGTGGGAGTACTCAAGCACTTGGGCCAACTTCTGCTGCC